GAAGATTAAGTAAATTATCATTTGTACTTTATACAATATTAACATGATTTTTTTAGGAGGGTGGAAGAGATTTGTAGACACGTTGTACATTTGCTGTTATATTAAAGTTTTTCTTCATTACCCATTCAAGCCGTCTCCAGCCATTATACATAGAAAATGTACTGAATAAAAACTTTTCATATTTTACCCACACCAAACTGTTAAACAAAAATTTGTCAGCAAGAACAGAAGTGTCAGATTGAAAGTGAAATTAACTACAAATATTTAAACATTACAAATCTTGATCCTTTAATTTAAGCCTCGTGCATATTTGTTAATAAAATCATAACATTTTGCGCCTTTATTGTTTTAATTCAAAAGAAGAATACTGCAAGATATATTTTTTTTTCAATTTACTTAATTAATGTAAAACCTTGTAATCTGAACGTATTTTTAATGAACCATTTTTTCTAGATTACTGAGACATAGTTGAATCATTCACTTTGAGTACAATACATTATCGTTTAATAAATATAAGGGAGTAAATTAGTAAAGGTGAGAATGCAATTGGTAAATAAAAATCAACTGTATGTACAATAAACTAAGCAGTTTACAGAATGATAATAATGCATTTCAACCGTGTCCTGCATGGCCAGGTGGAAAAGGCGCTCGACTCACAATCTGAGGGTCACGGGTTCGAATCCGCATCCCACCAAACATGCTCGCCCTTTCAGCCGTGGGGGCGTTATAATGTGACGGTCAATCCCACTATTTGTTGGTAAAAGAGTAGCACAAGAGTTGGCGGTGGGTGGTGATGACTAGCTGCCTTCCCTCTAGTCTTACACTGCTAAATTAGGGACGGCTGGCGCAGATAGCCCTCGTGTAGCTTTGCGCGAAATTCCAAAACAAACAAAGCATTTCAACCATATCTTCGAATTAACATATCGGTCACAGATTTTCAAACAGTAAAATGCAGTTTTATAAGAAAAAGAAGAACTATGGTAATCACAAAAACATTGTACCTTATCGTTTTTAACATGTGAAATGTGTATTACAGAGGAATACACACATATATATAAATATGTCATAGCTATTTACAAAATATGAAAATTATGAAGCTTTGTAAAGTTATTAACAACAAGAACGTTTTTAAATAACTTAAATTTTTAATAATGTTCTACCCACAGATCAAACTTAACATCATTTTAAAACCATCCTTTAGGTTACAACATCTCTATTAATACAAAGGAATGTCTACCTATCTCTCTTCGCTCCTGGGTTGTATATAAATACGCGTGTGGTGACTGCAAGAAAGACTTTATAGAGAAACCTAAACGGCATTTTACCGTTCGCATCCACGAGCACGTGGGGATATCACCGAGGTCAGGTAACATCCTAGTACGGCCCGGCATGGCCAGGTGGTTAGGGAGCTCGACTCGCAGTCTGCGGGTTCGAATCCCCGTCACACCGAACATGCTCGCCCTTTTAGCCGTAGGGGCGTTATAATGTGGCGGTCAATCCCACTATTCGTTGGTAAAAGAGTAGCCCAAGAGTTGGCGGGGGGGGGGGGTGG